AAGGAATGGGGTTAACCACAAGAAAAAAGGGGGAAAGAAAAACTTAAAAAAAAAAAATTTCAGCCAGGCACAGGGAAAAGAAAAAATGCTGAAAAGTAGGACCTGGGAGGGGAATATTAAGAATAAAAGTGAAATGAGAAAAGTATTAATAATATTTGTTGTTTTAAAACAGACAAATACAAGCAAGCTAATCACCAGAAAAAGGGAAGCGAAAAAGAAAAAAAAATAGGTGGAGGACAGGGCAAGGCACCCAGGCTCTGTCTGAGCACACTGACTATGATGGAGTTCCTGTGGGCCCAGAAGGTAGGTGGGAGTGGGCAATGGCCACACCTCCGTTTACCAAGCAGGTGTGGGGTATGAGAGTAACAAGAAGAATGTCGCACATTCAGTCTTGCAGGTCCGGAGTGTCCTTGGGGTTGCTGCAAAGCAGAACATGTTCTTAAGCCCCAGGAATCTGCGAGAGCGCTGTCTCTTTAAATATCCAAAATAGTCAAGCCGCTTTTAAGCATTCAAAATGGTGGCGCCCTCCAGACCAGCCAGAGTCCACAGCTCAGCCCACCTTTGTCTTCACCTTCTCTGTTATTACAGCCACCAGAGCAGTCCTCCATGCAGTCCCTGGGTAACAGGGCCGATTTTTATGTTAATTCTTAGGTCCTATCGCCACTCGGCACTGTCAGAGCCTTCTGTGCCATTCCGTTAGGATTGCTCAGGGTCGCTGCCAGACTGCAGCTCCATCTGTCTCCTTTTTTGGTATTTTCATGCAAATTCTTCTGCTAGTTGGGGTTTAGTCCACTTCTATATCCTTCCCTTAAAGGCTCAGAGGTCCAGGATTATCTTCTTTGTCTGTTTTAATTGGTTTCCCTTTTCTTTGTTGAAGAGGGTCTGTGTAGTCTTTCTGCCTAGTCTGCCATCTTACTGGAACTCTTTTCTGGTGGTGTGTCTTGAGAAGGCCATTGCATTGTTCTGTTAAACCAGGTGCTTCAGGGTGATGGGGAACGTAATAAGATAAGTGAATTCCATGAGCATATGCCCATTGCTATACTTCATTTGCTAAGAAGTGACTTCCTTGATCCAAGGCAATGCTATGTGGGATACCATGCCAGTAAATAAAGCTTTCTGTAAATCCACGGATGGTAGTTTTGGCGAAGCATTGTGTGCAAGGAAAGCAAAATCCCTATCCAGAGTTAAGTATTTCTTACAAGACACTACCCTTTCAATGATGGAAGGTCTAATGTAATAAACCTGACACCAGGTTTCTAATTTCTTGAAATGAGTATTGTTTTCATTTTTAGTGTTATTTTCCATTTTATAAACAGTTAAGGCTAGTATTATCTCTCTCAGTATTGTTTTAACTCCATCATGCAAATTTAGATATGTAAGTATTTCTTAGTTTTCAGTCCTGAGTGTGTTTTCACTTTCATTATGAGTTCATAATTACACGTTTTACATTGAAATGTAGTGACTTGCTTGTTGTATTTTTGTTACTGCCATTTACTTTTATTGCAGTATGGTTTAAAATATATATATATAGTCTTTATGTTACCAATCCTTTGAAATCTGTTGAGGCTTGCTTTTCGTAGCAAATTTTTTTGTAGATGCTGCTTGTTTGGTTGAAAAGGAAGTATTCTGCTCTAGTTGAATGCAGTGTTTTATATTTACCAAACTTATCTTCAATCAACTTTGCTTTCTTAGGAAAAATATAGTAGGCTACTAGTTTTGTTAAATCTTCTGTAGTTTTTTAAATATCAATTGTTAAATCAATTCTTTAATTACTGAGAAAGTTGCACTATTCGAGTATATGTAATTTGTCAATTACCTTGCTTTTCTGTCAATTTCTGTTTAATATGTTTTGAGAATATTAATAGTTGCATTTAAAATTCATATTATTCTCATTTAAACTGATGAATTAAAGTTTTTATTGTCTTTTGATACCTTTTGCTTTAAAAGTCAAGTGCCTCAGGCACTACGCTACCAGAGCTCCGTAATTGCTATTAAAGTGGTTAGTTTGCAGCTTTCTTTTATGTGTGTGTTTCTTGTTTTCTGGGTATCTTTTCATTCATGTCGTTTGCTCTGTCTTTTGTAGCTCATGTCATCAAATGTGGAACTGTAGCTGGATTATGTATTTTTGGTAGCGTAGTGCCTAAGGCACTTGACTGGTAACCAGAAGGCTGGCGGTTCAAACCCACCAGCCACTCCTTGGAAGGAAGATTGGGCAATCTACTTCTGTAGCGATACCGCCTCAGAAACCCAAAGAGGGGTTGGTATGAGTCGGGTCCGACTTGACGGCACGTAACAACAACAGCAGTTTTTTAAATAAAGTATTTATGTTAACTGTGATTATGCATATATTTGCACTTATTGCCTTATTTTTTAATTTGTCCTATATTTCAATTTTTTTTTCTTTCTTTTCTCTGTGTCTTAGTTACCTAGTGCTGCTGTAACAAAAATACCACAAGTGAGTGGCTTGAAAGCACAGAAATTTATATTCTCAGCGTTTAGAAGGCTAGAAGTCTGAATTCAGAGAAGATTTGTTTTTTCGTTCACAATTTCAAGCCACAGTTTGTGAGACAGACACTTTACTTTGCTGTCCTAAGAGGTGGTGGTGATGGTAGTGGAGTATTTCTAGTTTATGCTTAACACTGAGAATATAGCCCTTTTGGGATGGTTTTCTACTAGATTCTACACCTTGGATAGTTGTGGACTTTGCCTGTAGAGTCCTTCCAGCTCAGGCCCAGGAAATCATGAAATCATGTTCACCTGATTGAGTGCTATCCTCAAGTTGAAAGCCAGTTTCATTTTTTCATTTCTGAGTTTCTGCCTTTACTGGGATTTTGGCCAGAGTTTCTTATATTTGTGGTAACTCAGGAGTACATCTATGAAGATGTTTTAATTTTTTTATCAACTATTTTTATTTGCTTATAACTGGAGGATCAGTAAGGGTGTGCCTCATTAGGCATTCTGCTGGAAATAAAAGGTTAAAATGACTTTCTTATTTAAAGTCCTTAATCTTACTGTTTGAAATTTTATGATTACAGTATAATCTATATATACAACATTTATAAATTATCATTGTCATTTAGCTGTTAGATCCAATAATTTATCTTTCTACCACATTCTACTGATTCCCAATGAAGAAGATAGATTATTAGATGGAAGGTGTGGATCAGTAATACTTGTAAAAACAAGGAAGAAGTAAATACTCTTCTTTCACATTCTGTATTGCTTCATGTTCCTTTATGACCATGTGATGTAGTCCCCACTGAATTCAGAGCAGAGAACATGCTCAAGAAACCATGGCCACTGGAATGGGCAATGTAGTTTTGATTTCTGGAAATGTTTATGCAAGAGTCACTTTTCATTCATACTTTTTCCAATTAGGGGGAGTATCAAGGTTGAGTGTTACCATGCTTTAACATACCAGCATCCATTTTGAATTGCAGATTCAAGGCTTCTGGAAATCTTGTCATCACTCGTGAGATTGACGTGACAAGAAATCAGTCCTTTTGGTTCATCAACAAAAAATCTACAACACAGAAAGTAGTAGAAGAGCAGGTTGCAGCCTTAAATATTCAAGTGGGCAATCTTTGTCAGTTTCTACCTCAGGTATGAGAGAAATAATGTAACTTTGAAAACTTGTGTATGTTTTCTCTTTATGCTCAATAAGAATGTAAATACTTTTTAAAGGGATATTAAAATAGTTGCTATGTAAATTGAACATAGCACTCTTAACACTAACAGTTCTTTGTTGAATAACTACCATCTCATCACATGTTGTTGTTATTGTTAAGTGCCATTCAGTCAGACCCAACTCACAGCAACCCCTCCTTGGGTTTCCAAGGCCGTATCAGTATGGAAGTAGATTGCCCAACCTTCCTTCCGAGGGGTGGCTGGTGGGTTTGAACTGCCAGCCTTCTGGTTAGTAGTCAAGTGCCTTAGGCACCTATCTCATCACATAGTATAATTTTACTAATTTGTGGTGATTTGGCAAATTCTAGTCAGAGTTTAAATTATAGAGTATTTTAAAAGAAATATCAATGTATTTTTAAGTACAAAAAGTTGTATTTCCATTTGTAGTCTCTCTTAAGGTTTTATTAAGAGCCTACAAATGGAAGTACAACTTTTTGTACTTAAAAATACATCAGTATTTCTTTTAAAATGCTCTATAACTTAAACTTTGACTAGAATTTGCCGAATCACTGCAAATTAGAAGCTCTGGTAGCATTATAGAACATGAGGTGGTTCAAACCCACCAGCCACTCTTCGGAAGGTAGGTTGGGCAATCTACTTCTGTACTGATACTGCCTTGGAAACCCAAGGAAGAGTTGCTATGAGTCAGGTCCGACTCGATGGCATATAACAACAACAACAAGGTTTTATTAATAAAAATTTTTGAAAATATATTTATATAAAACATTTGATATATTAAAACTATCTTCAGTCTATAGGTATGTGTTCTAAAATCATGTTATATTTTAAAATTGTTTGTTGTTGTTGTTGTTATGTGCCGTTGAGTCGGACCCGACCCATAGCAACCCCTCCTTGGGTTTCCGAGGCAGTATCACTACGGAAGTAGATTGCCCCATCTTCCTTCCGAGGAGTGGCTGGTGGGTTTGAACCGCCAGCCTTCTGGTTAGCAGTCAAGTGCCTTAGCCACTATACTACCAGAGCTCCCTAAAATTGTTTAGTAAAGATAAATTATAATACATGTTATATTTTAAATACAAATAACTTACATTTGTCCGTAGTTCTAGTTACTTACTGAATTGTCATTTCTTTTTTTTTTTTTTCTGGAAACCGTGATGATTTGATTATATATACCCAAATTTAATAAAATTTGAAGACTTTTTACATTTATTAATCTGTGTCTCTAGAAGTAGACTCTTCCTGTTGTCCTGTTGCCTCTTTGCCTCTTTTTTTTTCTTCTTCTGACACATTCTAACTGCTGTGATATAGATTTTTTTAAATGGTCATTTTAATCTGAGGAACAATTTTTTCCTTTCTCAAAAAGAATTTATATATATATATAAATATTTCAGCTTGAAAAAATTGGCATAGAAAATCTTTTGAAATATCTCAGAAAGCTGATAATTCATCTTTTTAGGCATCTAAAGTTTTATTATTTATAATATAAGTATAATGAAGATACGTTATAATGTTAAGATATACCTATTAATGTAAACTTTATTTAAACAAGTTCTATCTTGACAAATGTAATCATTAGTTGAAATACATTTTGAAGATATTTAGTAAATGATAATAAACGAAACTCACTGCCATCAAGTCTGTTCTGACTCATAGTGACCCTCATTGGATTTTTAAGGCTGTAAATCTCTACGGAGAGCAGACTGCCTATTTTTCTTCTGTGGAACAGCTAGTGGTTTTGAGACACTGTCCTTTGGGTTAGGAGCCAAATGCCTTAACCACTGCACCACCAGAGCTCCTTAATAACTGGTAATAGTTGCTGATATTTCATTTTTGTGCTCTAGGACAAAGTTGGGGAATTTGCTAAGCTCAGCAAAATTGAACTCCTTGAAGCTACCGAGAAGTCAATTGGTCCTCCAGAAATGCATAAGTATCACTGTGAACTCAAAAACTTCAGGGAGAAAGAAAAACAACTAGAGGTATTTATAATTTAATACCTATTTTTAATAATCCCTCTATGTCTAGAAATGGGAGAAAGTGAATTGTTAGTTGTTGTTAAGTGCCGTCGAGTCGTTTCCGACTCATAGCGACCCCATGCACAGCAGAACGAAACACTGCCGCATCCCGCGCCAGCCCCACAATCCC